GTTTATCTTCAGTGACTTAGTAAACATTTGTTTTCCAGAGATGAAACAATGAATATCTGCCCATCTCCAAAGCTTCCTATGGGCCAGCATACACTTTTCTAACCAAAATTCTAATTAAGCCTGTGGTAAATGTGTCTGCAGCCTATGATTTGGATATTGCTAGTCTTAAGAACCTAAACCAATTAGTTGTTATACATCTGAGGGATGTGTGGGATTAACTTTTCAGTGCAAAGTAACTGAAATGTTCTGTTTTCACAGACTATGACAAGTAAGGATGCTAACCAAGAAGTGGAGATTGCCCAGTGTCACAGAGGACAGTATTTTGGAGAGCTCGCACTTGTTACCAACAAACCCAGAGCAGCCTCTGCCTATGCTGTTGGGGAAGTTAAGTGTTTAGGTAAGGAAGCATTTTAGGTTTCTGGTTAGCCTTTTCCAGGCTTCACTTGTGCTGCAGACTTTCCTCTACTATTCACAACCTGGCTGTCTTTCCGTACCTGTTAGTCAGATGTTGAACTTGGAGAAGCACTGCTGTTTGCCCCCTCAGATCTTTAGTTTCAGGTGTGTGTGAGGATAACTGCCTCGTGAGTTGTTACTTCTGCATGGTCTGTCTCTAGGGAAGTGGAAGTGGTGTACCCTGACTCGCTGGTGCCTGCGCCACAGTCTTCAGCATCAATTTCTAGCTTAAAACTTGCTTTTAGGTGATGGATTTATACTTGAACTGTGTATGTTTGCATTCTGTATTTATCCCTGAGGTCAGGTGTGTATTTTATGAACCTTATTTCTTTAAAAAACAGTACAGACTGAAATTCGGTTCCTGTTTATATGGCTTGTGTTGAAGACTTGGAACCAAAGGGGCTAGTCTTGAGGTTTGTGTTCCGAGTTCAGAAAATATATTGGCATATGGAATCGTCTTGATAGATAATTTTGTTTTCACTTCTGTTCTTCTGCAGTCATGGATGTGCAGGCATTCGAGAGGTTGCTTGGACCCTGCATGGACATTATGAAGAGGAATATAACACATTATGAAGAGCAGCTGGTGGCACTGTTTGGCTCTAGCATGGACCTGTTGGATCCAGGGAATTAGGCACAGGGTACCTCAATGCCTTCTCAGTTCAAGACGCAGAAAAGCCTCCGATCAGCAACACAACTCACAAGGAAATGGACACTATGGAACAGTTTTGGCTGTTGTCTTTTTGGGCATTTTAGAAACCATAAAAAGTGTCAGCACAGATGGATTGCTCACTCCATGCCTCCACTTTGCTGCTGATACTTCATTACTAGACCTAGATTAAAGATGATTCTAACCCTATGTTCACGTACTTGGTTCAAAATGGCATCTCTCCAACAGTTCAAGTGCCTGATACAAAACCCAAAGTGAGCAAGATGTAGAAGCTTCCTTCTTTCTGGTGTTACCACCATAAATTTTCAGAGCAGATTCTGTAGGGGTAAGCTGCCTGTTCTGCAGAGGCAACCTGTAGAAAATGAGCCTTTTACAAGCTTATTATGTTCTGATACTTTCCTTACGCAATGTCAAATTTGTTTTTTAACTGCAGCATCCAAATACGAAGTTAAAAATAACCGTGGAGTCAATTAATAAGGTGGCATCAATTTTCTTCAACCTGCTAAGAGTGGTGGTTGTTTATATAGTTATTTAAACCTACCTGAGGACACAGCGGACAGCTGCTTAGCAATGAAATGCAAGAAATGAAGTTTACTAGATTTTAAGCGTTTTCTGAGCAGCAAAGAAAATGGCTCGAAGATTTCATAGTTGTCATCTCCCAAAATTTGCTCTTTGTTTCTTAACACCAAGTAGATTTTATTGTGGAGAGATCACAATATATAACCTTCTCTTGCTTACAGAGATCCGTTATACTGCTTGATTTCCCAGGGCACTGTTGTCTGGGTCAGTTTTAAAGCTTTTTAAGGAGGTGAACATTTTGTAATTTAAAGGAAGACTATTTCTCTACTTATTTACAGGATCTTCCTCCCTCCCCAGTCCTAATATTTCACAGTATTCTAACTTCATTAGATAATTGGATGCTTCCAGATGCGAAGTGTATTTGCTAAATCTTTCAAAAGTTGGCAGCATTTGAATTTGTGGAGCAAATGTCTTTGCTAACTGCACATTTGGTGTGTTTGAGGAGTCTTTTTGATTTAGGTGATAACTCAGATAATGGTGAGTTATCTAAAGTACCTGTTAAATTTGCAGCATTTACTAGGTAGATTCTATTTCTTTAGTTTTAATGACATCAATTGGCATACTGCTAAGATTTTATCAGAGTATTATCTAAATAAGAATCAGACCATAAGAAGGGTATTTTTTATGGTGTAAAACAGAATATTTATATTAAGAAATTGAATTTATAGGTAATAAATCTAGTGAGCCTCTGAATTTGAATTTTTCAGCTCATGCAAAATTTGTGTTTTATGGGGTTATGAAATTTTAATTGTGGGTGCTAGTAGAACAGAAATTGCTCTTTTTATTCATGGCCATGTGAATAACAATAGAAGGATGCTAGTTAAATTCCTGCTTATAGTATGACAATGGACATTTCTTTAAGGCACAAGATGCTTACTCTCAACTCCGAGTTGGTTTCTGGACAGTAATTTCTTCCCTAAATGGATGAGCTCCTCCCAGTTTCTGAAATATAAATAAGATGGAAACTTTGTAAGATTGAATGGGTATTGTCCAGTTACTGCAATTGGAATCATATTTTTATATAATATAAATAGATTCCTAATGGACATCCTGGAAGAGGCGTTTCCATATTATTAGAGTTCTGATCGTGATGTCCAGTGGCTCTTCTAACTGCATGTATTCTAGAACAGTGAGTTTCTATTACTTTACTGGAGTGGTTTTGATAATAAATCATAGCCAAAGAAGCAGCAGGTACTTCATTCTTCTGAGGTTTAACACCAAAGACAAAATCATTGTTTTAATTGCAGATTTTTTTTAAAAAACAAACAAACAAACAAAACCCCAAAAAAACACTAATTAGGTCCTTGGTTTGATAACAGATACTTTAAATTACTTTGGGATCGTAGAGTCTTTTTGAAGCCAGCTCATGACTAGCCAGCAATCTAAACGTAAACTGGTCTTCATACTAGTATGAGTTTCTGTACTGCATAAACTGTCATGTGAACTAAAGAGAAATTTGCTGTGAAATCATCAGCTGGCCTCTGTCCCTCCCGGCACAGTTTCCTCCTCTTTGTCCGGTGGGGTCTGGCAGGTTGGGCTCCCTTACAGATGGGCTGTTGTTTTAAGAGCCTTCAGTAAAAAAAAAAAAAAAAAAAACACCAAGCAATTGTCTGGTAATTAGGTAATTCTGCCTGAAGGGGAGGATTTGATGATTCTAGCAGTCAAAGGAAAGGGTGAGACCATAAAATCAATGGCTTGGGATCCCATGTGAGCAAGAACAAGCTTCTGAAGTAATTTTGACCTTTTGCTAGACTCTCTGCAGCAAAGTCATACTGGGCAGTGCCATCCTGCAGCCAGGATTGCTGTGATGTTGCTCTGTGGTGCAAAGAGGCAATCTGACTGTGAGCTGAAGGAGAGTGAGCCTGTAAGAAGCTCGCCCCATTTAAAAGGGTGTGATTTGCAATGTGCCTGACTAATCTAGTCTGGTTTAACCAGCCTGTTCTGTGTAACTTTGGAAAGCAGAGAGAACCTCAACGGTGCCTGGCTAAGTGGTTACCTGGCGGAGCACCAGCAATGAACAGAGTCAGAAAGCGCTGAGGGGAGTGAAGTGAGACACCAGTTTGTAAAGTCCTGACTGTGTCGTCGTATCCCAGTTTTTTCCTTTTCACTGTGACTGCTCATCACAATTGTCGTGGAGAATGAGCACAGTCTTTGTTGTTATTGCTCAGCGATCAGTAAATTTGCTGTGGATTCTCTGAGATTGGTAATGGAGGAAGATCTAATTTTTATTAAAAACTCAGCAGCAAAGTGGGTAAAAGAGGGTAGTGTCTTTGAGACTTTGAGGAAAAAGTCTCTTATATCTGATTCCCTGCTTGTGATTGTTGTGAAGTCAGTGAGAGGAGCTTTCTCAGTGGTCAAATGTCCTGGCATATGGTATTTCTGTTTAATGTCACAGCACAGGTTTCACAGTGTAAAAAAAAAGAAAAAAAAAAAAAGAAAAAAGGGCAAAAGCGCTCTCTTAACAAAACAAAATACAAATTTGCACAGAGGGCAAGAAGAGAAAACCCTTTGAATGTCACTTTCATCCTTTCTTTTCAGTTGGCTGAAAATGGACTTTTGTTCTTGACATGTATTTGTAAACTAGTCTTGCCAAAATACAAACTTTTTTTTTTTTCACTCCAGTCAATTTTTGTTGTTACAGTTATTGTTGTTTTTTATTTCCACTTCTTTCAAACCATATATTTTATTTCAAGAGGCCTTCTTTGTGGATTTTCTCCTGATGGTCTACAGCACTACAATGCTATTTCAAGGCGCAAGAGAACCTCACAAGGGAATATTCAACTCCATTTAGCTGGCTGGAGCTAATAATGCGCTACTAATTTTCCTCCACTCTGTGGGGCAGGAGGAGAATTAAATCCTGCATAAAGTTGCTACCTCAAGGCTCCAAGTGCTTTAATGGTCTTTCACTTGGGAGAATTTCATAAGACAGTTCTTAAAATTGGTCTGTTCTTCTGAGTTAAATGTTTTTCTTCATTGATTCATTGAGGGGACCCTTATTTGAATGCATTTTACATTTAGTATTTGATCCTCAAAGGATGAACAACTGCAAAATTCAATTCTTGCATTACAGTGTTGAACATGAAGGAAAATATCTGCCATATGAGCATATATTTTTTAAAAGTTAAACCACTCTGGGGTTCAGCTTCACTTTTGGTTAATAAAAAGCTGACATGTCGTGTCCAGCCTTCCTGGTACAATCCGGTGTGTGCTCTTTATTGACTTACTGCAGCTGACGTGCCCCTACACACAGTGCTTAAAAAACAACTGGACTTTCCAGCAGGTAACTAAATTTACTTGGAGTGTCTGAGTTACTGTTGCTTGTGTTATCAGAGCCTTATAGAAAACAACACTTGCCCTATTGCAATAATGAGAATAGATTTATACATCCTCCAGCCACCGAGTTTTACTGTTTGATGAGAAAATTTAACTAATACCTTAAGTGATACCTTTCTGTAGATATTGTTGCTCCGAATAAAACTGGCTGTGATATGGTTGCCATGCTATTGTAAAATCAATTTTTTGATTTTGTTTGAGCAGTATACTAACTGATTTTCAGTTCTTAGGAGAATTACAATATTTGTGGAGATCTCTTGCTGCCCTATACTTATGGCTACTGAATGTCATACAGCAACTTGCCTTTTTTTTAGCCTAACAATTTTAAAATTAGTTTGGTACTTGTGAAGTTATTTTTTCAAATTTTTAAAGTTTGCTTTTGCTTAAACTTTATTCTAAATGCTTACTATTTTATGTACAGTTTCTAAATTAGGGAGAGTATTTCCAGTGCATCATGGTTTTAATCATGGGAATGTTTTGCCTCAGCTATTCTATAGTACTCAGTTTACTGCAGTACTTGAGTAGTAAGGGCACTTTAGCTTGGGAAGATGTTGATGTTTGAAAGGGCCAGAGGGTAGCAGCACAATAAAAAGATGTATAAAATGTAAACTGGGAGGGGTAGGGAACTCTTGAAACACAAAGATTTCAACAAGATGGTATGATCTCACAGTTGCTAGGACAAATACCTAACACGGGGCATAATATGCCTCTTCCTGGTACAGTCTAAGCATTCAAAAGTTCTGCCTGGAAGACAGCTCAAGCAGACACTGGAAATGTGTGAAATCTTCATTATATGTTTCTTGAAACAGTTTAAACAGATCTCTGCCCAAAGGATTATATACTTGTCTGAGGCATGGGTAGGTGAGATGACCTCTTCAGGAGGCTTTTATAGGATGTTTTTCTTAGGAAAACCTTAGATAGATATTGGTGAACTACCTAACCTCCAAAGCTCGCTGAACACTAAAGGAGGCTGAGCTGCCTGCTGGACTGAGGAGAGAGAAAATCAGGGTTGAACAGAGCAAAACCTCAAATCTTGATTCCACTGCTGGATCTCGCTGCAAGGAAGGGGGATCCCTTAGAAGCTCTGGTGGTAATGGAGCATCTGAGATGAAGAAATCCTCACTAGTGACAACTAGCCACGGCTTTGAAGATCATTGTTTCACTGCCCAGTTATTCCTTGTTGTCAAGCACCAAAGGGTGAGAAAGGGCATAAAAGATGGTGGTTTTGTTTAAAACAGTGTATTTTTCCGAGAATTCCTGGATAAACCCTTTCTTTTAAGCAAAAGTTGCAAGACTGAAGTTATCCTGGGAATGTTGGTTAGCTTGAGAAAGGTTCTGTTCATACTACTTTTTCCTGCTGTTTCTCTCTGAAGGATGTGTCACAGCCATCCCTGGGTGCTCTAAGTGCTCTAAGCATTCAAGCAACTATGATAATTTTGTTAATAGCAGTGTCTTCCCCCCTGTGCGGTTACCACAGCCCTCCTGCTTGGATTCCACCCAGGCTCAGCTGCTTTTCCAGCAGTGTTCCAGCTGCTTCCAGCCACCAACCTGCCCCACTAACAGCCTCTCAACCACTATTTTAAGGGGGCCGTGAGGAAGCATCTCTGCTTGCCCCTCTCCAACGTCGCGTTCAACTTTTACAATCCTGAAGCAGCGGGAATCACTTCAGCGAGAAGATTAATTTCAGGAGCGGGACCTACTGCTCCCTTTCCTGACTCTGCCAGGGCCAAAGCAAAGCCTGGGTGCCCGGCCGGCGCCTTTAACGCCTCTGCGCTCCGGCTACGAGGCCGTTGACGGCCGTTAGCGCGCGCGCCCCGCACCGCTCCCCTCACGGCGAGCTCCGCCGCGCG